AGAGAGCTTAAAGTCTATATATATATATAAATTATATACAATATATATATAAACATTATATAATATAAATTTATATATATATATAATTTATATTAACATTGATTTACATTAACCATTTGAGTGCTGGCATTTTTTTTATTATTATTATTCAATAGCATAATCATCAACAACAACATAATAATAATGATAACAACAATAATAATAATATTATGATTATTATTATTATTATTTTTATTTTGTCGATTTCTATCAAACCATTTTTTTTATTTTTGATGATCCCTGAGCTGAGCGCCCCCCGTGAGGTATATGAACTCTTAATTGTGAAATCTCTATACATTATATACTGTATATATATATATATATATATATATATATATATATATATATATATATATATATATTATCTAACTTTTATATACAGATATAATAATAATAGTGAAAAAAACAAGCAAATTGTTGTTGTGTCCTATTCTCCAAACCTAATGATTACATTATTATTATTATTATTATTATATATATATATATATATATATATATATATATTGAAGTATTAAGAAAAAAATAGCTAACTATTCCCTCCTTAAGGCCAACTGTTCCCTCACTTACTTCAAAAAAATAGCAATTGATTTTTAGTTGTTGGTTTGAGAGGAACAGGTGAGTGAGCGTATGACTCATACATCTATGCATTTTTTTTGGTGGTGGTGTGCGCTAATAGCCTACCAGTGCTCTCTCTCTCTCTCTCTCTCTCTCTCTCTCTCTCTCTCTCTCTTTCTGGCAAATGGTTAGATTGTGTGGTGTCTCACACTTTCTTATAAGAGTGTACTCTCTCTCTCTCTCTCTCTCTCTCTCTCTTCTCTCTCTCTCTTTCTCTCTTTCTCTCTCTCTATCTATCTCTCTCTTAATCACTCGGGAGGTGTTCACCGGTGTGAGGAACTGAACCCCATTTTCATAAAGAAAACAAAAAAAACAACAACAATAAGAGTAACAAAAAAAACTAATATATTTTTATTGAATAAATACACACAATATTAATGATTATTATATATACTGTATATATATATATATACCTGTATTGTTATAATGTTATATAATATACTGTATGATACCTTATATATATATTATATTATTATCATTATTATTATATGATTTGATATATTGTATATTTTCACGGTTTCACTTTCAAACAACAATAATATGTAATAATAATAATAATAATAAACCCAAAAGTCACACACATATACCAATTATTTATGATTATTATTATTATGTATTTTATGATAACAAATATGTTGACTAAAAAATACCGAAACATATATTTTTATACACAATATAATGTATATTTGGTTATCAAATAAAATAAATAAATAAAACTAAAATTATTTTGTGTATGTGTGTGTATGTGTGTGTATGTATGTGTATGTATGTGTATGTATGTGTATGTGTGTTTATGTGTGTGTATGTGTGTGTATGTATGTGTATGTGTGTGTATGTGTGTGTGTGTGTGTGTGTGTGTGTGTGTGTGTGTGTGTGTATTGCTATAATAATTTTGTTTTTGCATTTATTTTTGGGTATTATTCACTTAATTTACTTAAATCATTGTTTTGTTTGCATCACTTAAATAAAATAATAATACTTTTTTTCAATACTGTATTTTGATTACATAGAAAAATAAAAGTTTTTTTCACACAATTTTTGTTGTTGTTATCTCTCTTTCTCTTTCTTTTTAAAAAATTTTTTTTTCAAAAATTTCTCTGTTTTTTCTCAACTAAAAAAAAAATTTCTTTTCTCTACTATCTCTCACTAAAACAAAAATTTCAGTCTATTTTTGTTGTTGTATTTGAGAGTCAATTTTGGGAAAAAAATTTTTATATTTAACTTTAGTTACTAATGATTAGTATATCATTATTATTGATATAATAAACTTTATGTATATATAAATTATATCTATATATATATACAGTATATATATATTATATAATGTTTATATCTTTAAAAAAAATATATCTGTAACCATCAAAAAATTATTTTTGATATAACTTTATATATATATTAAAAATCTTTAGTTTATCGTTTAGTTAGTGTGACATTCAATTGGGTATATTATATATATATTTATATATATATATATATATATATACTGTGCAGATACTGACTGTCACATACAGTATTACATAACATTATATTAATAGATTCAATATTAATATACTGTATATAATCACTACTACTACTAAATGTCAGTAATTTTTGTTGTAATTATTGCTATACATTATACTTGCATATGATATTAGACACTCATTGAGAGAGAGAGAGAGAGAGAGAGAGAGAGAGAGGCCCATAGAGAGAGATACACTAACTAAGCACTGGTAGTTATTTTTTCTAACTAAAAAATTTTTGTTGTTGTTGTTGTTGGCATTTACGCCCACTTAAAGGGAACCCAAATACAGTGAGAGAGCGAGAGAGGACATAGAGATAGGGACTGGTAGTGTATGTGTGCGATCATATGGTATAAACTTTATATATATATATATATATGTAAAATCCCTTTAAAAAAACTACATTACATTACACATTGAATTTCAAGTGTCTCTCATTGATGTAAAAGATTTTATATTTTTTGTTTGTTAAATACAAGTCACACATTTAAAAAAATGCTAAATAAAAAAAACTATTAGAGGAAAGGAAAGGGAGATAAGTTTAAGTGTGTGTTGGGAACGGTAGGGAACACACCAGTCTCTCTCTCTCTCTCTCTCTCTCTCTCTCTCTCTCTCTCTCTCTCTCTCTCTATCTATATATATATATATATATAAAAGACTTCATTTATTTTATTTAGTGTTGTTTCGCTCATTTGCTTCGGGTATTAGTAAAAAAAGTTATGTTTGAAACTGTGGTGTTGTTTTAAGAGGCGGGTAGTTATATAGGACTTACTGTACACTTATGTAGTATGTGTTTATGGGGTTTATGCTGTTTATGCCTGTGCTGCAAACTGAGAGCCTAATGGTTTAAAGTTTTTAAGATTTTTTTTAATAATCTACCAGTGCTGGGGTCCCATAGAGTAGTACTACACATGTATACCGACACACATTTTTTTTTGTAAAAAAAGATAGTATAATAATCGGGGGGTTGTCTTAAGCCATTGGTGTTAATGGCTGGCTATAGTATAGTACCCAACACAACATATAGGGGCCAAAGCAGGTGCAGAGAGAGAGAGAGAGAGAGAGAGAGAGAGACAAAAAAAGAGGAAAAGTAGAGGAAAAGGGGGATCCCTTTCCCCCAAAAAATATCGTCGAGTAGTAGTAGGCTCTTAGCACTGGTAGTATATGTAGAAGTTATTGTTGTTGTTGTTGTTGTGAACCTTGGAGTGAAAGTAGTTGTTGTTGTTGTTGTTGGTTGGGTTTGGTTGGGGTTAGGCTACAGCACATACATACACACACACACACACACACACACACACACACACACACACACACACACACACACACACACACACTCATACATACAAACAGCTGTCCCCAAGCTGTACATATTATTATTATATTGTAGAATATGCCGGTTCTATGGCTATATATATAAAAAAAAGTACAGTATGTATGTGCCGCTGGTGATGGTATATATATACTGTATATACCGGTACTACAACATACAGTTTTTTTGCTGTATGTATGTGTGTGTATATAACTGGTCTCTCTCTCTCTCTCTCTCTCTCTCTCTCTCTCTCTCTCTCGCTTTGGTTTAGCTAAAGGCGCTCTTCAAGAGAGAGAGAGAGAGAGAGAGAGAGAGAGAGATGCCATCGATGGTTAAAAGGCCTACCGGGGGGATGAAAATGGTATGTATGTGCGCGCAGTATAGGCACTGCCCCTCTCTCTCTCTCTCTATCTAACTAAGCAACCAAACCAACTAACTAACTGTGCACTGGTAGTAGTAGTAGTAGTAATAGTAGTTTTGTACACAAAGCTAAACGTAGAGAGAGAGAGAGAACCGGCAGTTTTTAATATACCATCTAACAGCTAACAGTGCAAAGCACTCTACCAGTGTGTGTGTGTGTGTAGTAAACTCTCACATACATACATAAGCGCCTGTGTGTGTGTGTGTTAATAACACACACAACAAACTTTTATTATTATATATTGTGTATTACAGTATTATTACAGTAACTTTCACCACAACACAGCACAGAGCACTGGGTAGTTAAGTAAAGTGCCAGTGCCAGCACACATACAAACAAAAAAATCAAAAATAAAAGTGTATATGTGTTTTCACTATCACTACTACCACTGCCATCATCACCACTACCATCAACAACAACATCAACCCTAACATACATACATACATATATTGATTGTCACCCGCTTTTTGATAACCAACCAATTTTTTTTCGGTCGGTCGGGTGGGCTAACTGTGCGCTTGAAAAAAATATGATACCGTGTGTGTAGTGTTTACCCGATTTTTCCCCCTACGGGCATAACCCGCAAAGTCATCCACTAAATCCAACCAACCAACCATACCATCCCTATTATCTATCATATATCATGTATTGTCGGAGGCGACCACCACCCCCGACATCATCAGTGGTGACCGATGACAATATCGGGGCTGAAAAGTTGCTCCTATTTGTTACATAAGTGTATGGCCATTGATTGACCGACTAACTGACTGACTGACTGACAGTGACCAACTGTCCCCACCCCCTATACCCCCAACCATTGGATTAGCTATGATAAAGATTATTATGATATCCATTACCGCAAACCATGTCCAGGGATATTATTTAAGTGCTTAATAGTTATCAAAAAAAAAAAAAATAAACTCAAACATAACAAACAACATACCAGTGCTTTAAAAAAGTGAATTATTTTTTAAAATTAATTGATTAAAAAAATAAACTTTTTTTAATATATATATTTGTTTTGACAATCAAATTGATAATCAAAAAAATAATAATAAACTGACCAAACATTTTGTGAATATTATTGTTATTATATTTGTTTAAAAAAAACTAATAATCAAAACATAAAAACAATTTTTAAAAATTTTTTAAATAAATTTTTTTTGTTAAACTTCGGGACTAGTGTTCAGACTAACTGACTGACTGACTGACAGACATACAGACGGGACAGTCATATGATATCATATCATATATATATTAATATATTAGACGACAGACTATTTTGACACCAACTGTCTGGACATAAGCTGTTTTCACCCTTTATTTTTAACCTCAATACCCCTCCTCAACACCACCAAAAAAAAGTCAACTGTCCTGTCAAACCAAAATCAAGTGATCAAACTATTAACACACATTGACTGACTGACCACCATATCGGGTGACACCAACACCAACACCAACAACACTGACAACAATGAAAAAGTTTTTCAGTTTCGCCCGACGCAAGTCATCCTCGACATCGACTGGTCTGAAAGGCCTGAACCCGAGGCGCTTCTCCATTGGTTCATCAGCTTCTTCATCGTTACAGATACAAGTAGTACGCGGCGGCTATAATGTCGATCTGGGGAAAGTTGACCAATCGTTTACCAAACTACATAAGGCTGCCTTATTGAACGATGAGGACAGGCTACGCAAACATATTAAATCCATACCGGTCAACTCGCGTGACTCATCGGATAGGACAGCCCTACATTTGGCTACGGTTAACGGTAATCTAAAAATTATCCGATCGTTGATCGAGGCCGGTGCCAATGTCAACGTACAGGACGGAGACGGTAAGACACCGATTGTCAAGGCTATTGAATGCCAACACGAAGATTTGGTACAATTTTTTCTGTGTGTCGGTGCCGATACTGAACTCGCCGACTATGAAACGGGTAATACACCCCTGCATTGGGCACTATCGATGGGTGCCGTACGGGCGGCACAGTATCTGCTGAGGAATGCCCGACATTTGGATGTTAATAAACGCAATAATGTATGTAAAAAAAAATGTTTTTTGTTGTCTAGATATGTAAATTATATCCCTGTCCTCCCCAATATCCTCTCAATCTAACCCACATTGTCTCTAAAATAACCCCAACAATAATACAGTATATGATTATTATAATAAATAATTTTTTTTTTAATATAATCAATATTTATTATATAATTATTAACTTAATTATTATAGTATAATTTGTATAATTGATTATTTTAGAAATATATTTATTTAATTATTATTTAATTATTAATAATTACATTTATTTTTTCATTAACTTCCAATTATTAATATTTAGTAATTTATTTTCTATGATATCATCAGTTATTTATATTTATTATTATTATTTAGTCAATGTGTGTGTGTGTGTGTGTGTGTGTCTGTGTTTTAGGATGTGTTATTTGATACCTTTCCTCTATCTATACTCCCCTTTTTTTAATAAACTACATCCCCTATGAATATATAATTTAATTTTATCTAAAAATTAACATATTTTTAATATAATATATTTATTATAATTTAATATAATAATCATTTTTAAATATTATTATTATCAATATGTTTAAGTGTCATAGAGTACACTCAAAAAATAAATAAAATGATATCAATATAATAATAATAATAATAAAGTTTTTAATGTACTCATAATTATTTTTAAAAAAAATTTTATTATTATCTATTTTATATGTATTTTTTTCAATGTTAAAACAAATTTTTTTATTATTAACCAACAACAGCAACAACAAAAAATAGATAGTATTATATAAATAGTTATAATAATTATTTTAATATACATTTATATAATATATTTCATCATAATTTTTAGTATTTTTTATAATTTTGTTGTCAATTGCGATAATTTTCCTAACTCTTTTTTTTTGTACTGTAGTTTATTTTGTGTAATTATTTTTTGTTGTTATCATTAATTTATTTATATATATATATATATATTTCATATCAAAAATCCCATTCATTAAATTCATCACAATCTTGAAGTGAAATACAGTATATAAATACATGAAATTAATTATAAATTATAAGGAAAACATTTGTTTTAATTTTCAAATTTTATTTTTTCTTCAATTTTAAAAAGCATAAGATATGCCAAAAATAGTTTTTTTTCTGTAAATAATTTCTTTTTGTTGATATTATATATATTCTCTCTCTCTCTCTCTCTCTCTCTCTCTCTCTCTCTCTCTCTCTCTCTATCTCTCTCTCTCTATCTCTCTCTCTCTCTTCAAAATAAAACTTATGTTAGGATATAGTATTACCACTAAGTTTTTATTTTGACGACTAATTATTTTGCTGAGAGGACTAGTAGTATATATATATATATACTGTATATATATACTATATAATGATTAAAGAGTTGCCATTTATTTATTTTTATATCATATATATATATATATTTAATATGATATATACAGTATACTTATGGTGTGTCTATCTATTATCTATGTCTATGTCATTGTATACTATAAATGTGTTTCTCAACTGTTGATTAATTTGTCTGATAAATTAATATAATACAGTAATAATAATAATAATAATGAAAAAATTATTTCATCAAACTATTAAAAGCATTTTTCTCATATTATTATTATCATTATTATTAGTATTATCTTTAAATGAAATTTTTGTTGCGCACAGTTAGCTAATTTTAGACGCTCTCTCTCTCTCTCTCTCTCTCTCTCTCTCTCTCTCTCTCTCTCTCTCTCTCTCTGGACGGTTATGTCATCAAAAAAATTATAATCATATCATATATACTGTATATATATATGATATGATTATTTTAATAGTTATTATTATTATATTACATAATTTATATTTATATATAATTTAAATTTCACAACTTTTTTTATCAAGCTATGATGAAACATACAAAAAATAAATGCTATATTTTTTCATTATATTATGATTTTTAGTTTTTTAAAAAATAAAAATAATATTTAAAAAAATTTTACATTAGTATCCCATACCTGTCCCGTGTGTGTGTGTGTGTCTGATGACAATTATCTTAATTTTCTTATATATATTATAAAAAAATAATAAATAAAAATTATAACCAACAATAAAATTATTTATTTTTTTTAAGTCGTCTATCACTTAGTCGGGTAATACCCGGGGAACTACTATTCCCTGTATGTATGTATGTATGTATGTATGTGTGAATGACTTTGAATGTATGTCCACTGTTTTGAATGAATGAGAGGAACTGTATGTATGTGTGAACGAAATGCTAATTTGTAGTGATAATGAAATTTACATTCAAAAAAAACCAACAAAAATAAAAATTTAAAAAAATTATTTTATTATTTTTTAAAACTTAATATTATTGTTTATCACACATACACAACTAAAAATAAATTAATTTTATATATATATATATTTTTTTTATTGTTGAATATTTAAATACCTGTCCAGTCATTTATCATTACAATAATATTATTATTAACTACCGGTTCTCTCTCACACATATATATCCAGCAAAACGAGACATGTCTGCACTTAGCCGTAAAATTGCCGCAAAACTGTGTTATACTCGAAGATCTCATCGCCAACGGTACACATTTGGACGCCCGCGACGACCGCCAGAAAACGGCACTAATGATTGCCACCGACAACGAGAACCTGCAGGCCATCAATACATTGGTTAAGTACGGTTCGGCAGCACCGGGAGTTGCGGGTGGCGGCGGGACAGGAACTGGTGGTGTCGGCGGAGGTTCGGCCACTTATTCGAGCGATGAAGACATGAGACTATCGCTTACTGGCGGCTTTGGCGGCGGCGGCAGCGGTGGTCGATATCCAAACAGCAGCAGAAACAGTAGAAGTCAAGTGCTCAGTATTCACGAACGCGAAACCGATTCGGCCGATTCGTGGCCGGACACCGAGGACGAGGACGGCAACTACGAGAGGCCAATGTCCAGAGAGTCGAGAGATTCGGCGGCGGCCGCAGCGGCCAAACAGCTAAGAAAAGAGTCGTTCAAAAGTGGTAACTCATTTCGTGTGTCTAGTCTTGTGGATGAAACCATTCTCGAAGAGCTAAAGCCGGACAATGGGAGTGTCGGCGACGATAGTGGCGACGATTATGTTATCTGTAAGCCGAGCACTAGTCGCGAAAAGATTGGCCGACTCTCTGAAGCCGTCGTCGACGACGTCGACGACATTGTCAACGAAAAGATGAAACAACAACAAGAGATTGTATGGAAAAAGTCGTCGTCGTCTTCTTCCTCATCGTCCGGCGGATCTGATGACGATATGATGATCATCAAGAAGAAGAAGACGAATCTAAATAATATGATTATTAATGACCGCAAACGTAACGATGATGAAGAAGATGACGACAAAGAAGTCAGGGAAATGAATGCAATAAATACGAGCAAAAATCAAATGTTTAGCAAATCATCGGCGACTACGACGACTGGGTCAGTGGCCGGCGGCGGCGGCAGTGTCGGCGATCCATTCAACAGCGATGTTATGGACGAACTGGAACTGCTTCTCATACAGGAGACCATTGGCGTCGGTGGAGGACTAGTAGGAGGAGTAGGAACTGGAGTGACGCACGACAAGAATGTCGACTTTATAGCCCATATGAAAGATCTGTTGGACGAAGAGATGCCGAAAGCGGCGGCGCCTAAGGCTAGCAGCACTCCGCTGGCCATCAAACACAAAAGCATACCGTCGCCGCCGCAGCCATTATCACCACTACTAACATCATTAGCATTATCATCGCCACCCACACAACCACTACCACCAACACAGACATCAATGACATCAACTAAAAGTGATACTAAAACTACAGATTATCATCTAATACTTGATGATAAAGACAATAGTGATCACAGACGTCGACAACAGCAACAACAACAGCCAGAGATTGTTATGTTTGGTGACAATATAACTGTTAGAAATGTGACTAAAACGACAACACCAACAAAGACAGTGCCTACCAGTCCTCCTCATCCTTCTGGCGATGGATCTAACAGTAGATCTCTATCATCGCAGCATCAGTTACGTCGTGAGAGTAACGTTGGTGTTGTTAAAGATGTGTCGACCACTGATTCGTCGAAAAGTGAGTCGACGTCGACGCCAACGAAGAAGTCGAAGAAGAATAAGAGGACAAAACAACAACAGAAGACGACTACAACGAATCAAACGGACGATAGTTATCGACGGCGAAGTGTGGCCGACATGAAGACTACTACTACTAGCTCTGGTTCGTCGTCCACCGAAACTGATGCGGCAGCCATGGCCGCGGCGGCGGCGATTGATGCGGCCAATCGACGTCGAAGCTATGCCGAAGTGGTTGCCCAGAATCGGGAGACAACAGCCAACAGCAACAACAGACAGTCGCTTATGGATGAGCTTAAGACTAGTATCAATGCCAGAGCTAAGAGTCATAGCTATGCCGATGTTCAGTCAGGCGGCCATTCAGACTACTACGACCAGATGCGCGGCAACGGCGGCGGCGAAACAAAGATACCGATACTTAGGGCCAACAAATCGTTTTCATCGTCATCATCATCATCGGCGACGTCGTCGCCGACTAAACTACAGTTTCTCCAGAAGTTATCACCGAAACATAACACATCCAGCAATAATCAAAGTCATGTCGTCGTCAACAACAATGCCAAACAACCACAACAACAACAGGAATCACCATCACTTGCGGACAGCAATAATGCCATCAATCTGTTGTTGTTGAAGAATCAACAGAACAACACCATCAACAACAACAACAATATGAAGAGTAGTCTATCGAAAATACCGTTACCGGTGTCTAAACAACAACAACAACAGTCGTCTAGTGTTGAACTACAGTCGACGCCGCCGTCGCCGACAAAGTCTACGACAGCAGCATTGGACGACATGTCGCCGACAACGACGCCGACGACGACAGATGAATCGGCGGACAATACAAGACTAGATGTCTTTGGCCAGAATTTTTCGCCCGAAAGACATTCGTCGAACGCTGAAGAGTTATCGGCGACTGAGGCCAGTAGTGGTGTCAAGTTGTCGCCGTCGAACAGTACCGGCAGTACCGGTAAGGTCAAGAACGGGGCCATTAGGTCGTCAAAACTTCGCCGTCGAGTCAACGAACTGACCGATGAACTCAAAAGAGGTACCCAAGAGAGGTCGGCGTTGGCGGCCGAAAACGATACGATTAAACTGGAGCTCCGGGATCTGAACGATAGGATATGGGCGGAAAATGCCCGAAACTATGACCTGGACATGAAGCTGACCAAATTGGAGGCCGAACTTAGCCGCTGTCGTATCGAACTGGACATGAAATGCAACGAACGGGACGCCATTCGTACGGAACTCGAATCGATTGTCGGCCAGTTTGCCGACAGTAAGACCCGATGGCGTTTGGTTGACGAAGAAAATCAACGAATGAAACTGCAGATGACATCCATGGAACTGGAGGAACAAGTTTTGCGACAAAAACTACTGGCCAGCAGTACGACGGCAACCAATACCACCAACACTGGCGTCGGACAACATATGTCTGGTAGTCACGATGTCTGCGATCACGACGAACTGGTCATCGAATGGAAGACCAAAGTGGATGTACTGATGGATGAAAACGATCGACTTCGCCGCCAGACGGAAGAGTTGCAACGGTTGGCCATCGAAAAGGGTGTCGAATACGAGCGCCAGTTAGTCGAGTGGCAGAAGCGTACCCAAGAAGTTGAATCGCATCTGAAGACACTGAGACTGGAGTTGGAGGCCGTCAACAGTGTTCGCCAGCAGATGATGGCTCAACAACAGCTACAGCAGAGCACTGGCGGTGGCGGTGAGGAACAGCTGGAACTGTTGCGAGCCGTACGCGAACTGAACACACTGATGGCCAAACTGGACGACCGAATTGCACGTACGGATGCCGTACGGCAACAATCAGTACAGACCAAGTACTCGAACGAAGAGATGCTCGAATGTGCCCGTAATCTGTTGGATCAGATGCGCCAAGAGATGGTCAACTTTAAGGAGATGCTGACCACCACTGCTACCGTCGCTACAGCCGCCGATACGACAACAACAGTGGACAACAACAAGAATGGCAGTGTCAACGGCGATCACCACAAGACTACTAACGGTAATGAAAAACAATTGGCAGCTTTCGAGTCGCGTATTAACGGTTTGCGTCAATCGCTTGAACGACTCGAAGATCAACTACAGAGCCAAGAACTGCAGCTAATCCGGCAGACATCGGATATCATTGCATTTACATCGGGTTCCGCAGCCGCCGGGGCCACCACTACTGCCGCCGCCACCACAACAGCTTTGCGCAAATCTTTGTCATCGCGCGAACTGTTTATCGCTTCCAATACCACTCATAACTTAAACAATCTAAACAATCACATCAACAACAACTACCACAATAGCAAACAGCTATCACAACAACAGCCGCCGAAGAGTTGGTTTGTTCAGACATTGTTTAGACTACAGTCTCATATTCAACAGTCCGGCGGCAATGGATCGCCGACCGGCGGCGGATTGACCGCTGCCGACGGCGGCATCGATTCAATCGCTACGTTTGTTCATCAAAAATCAAGACTACAGAAACAGATACACGAATTGAAGACCGAATTGGGATTGTTTGCCGAATCCGTCCATTGATTTCTTGTATTGATATATATATTAATATATGCAATGAAAGAGAGAGAGAGAGAGAGAGAGAGAGAGAGAGAGAGAGAGAAAGAAAGAGAGAAAGTTTTATAATTATATATAAAAAAATGTATTTATTATTATTGACATAAAACAGAGTTAAATATATTATTATTATTATTATTATATATAACACAATAATTATATTGATGTGAATATTATTTATTAAATATATATATAATTACTGTATTATTATTATTAGTATAATTATTACCTAAATGAAAATGATTGCCTAAAATTTATAATTATTATTTAAATTTTCTGTTTAGTATTTAAATAACGACATATTAATTATTATTAATACTATTATTATTATTATTATTATTAATCATTTTCTTGTTTAATATAAATATATCTTATAAATTGAATTACATTTATATCAGTATAACTATGATTTATTATTATTATTATTATTATTAAAAGAAAATTATTACTATTAATAATATTTAATTTAATAATATTATTAAACTTAATATAAATTTATATATATATTATACATTAAAAATCATTTGTTTATTATATACATACAAATTACTTTACCATTTAATTATTATCTTATTATTATTATTATTTAAAAAAATTTACAATAAAATAAAAATAAATTTTTATATAATTATTATTATTTATTTATTTTTTTTAATTATACAGTATATTTAAATAAGATATATATATATATATTGTAATGAGTAGATTTTATCATTACTGTTATAACTATAATATATCCTATTTCTATACCGTTTCAATATTATTTTAATAGCATTGCCATTTATATCTGGAAAGTGTTGATTATTTAGATGTTTCATAAGAATTTTTAGGGTGAGTTACTCGCTTCACTTTCCATGCAATGATTTCACGTAAACCACTGGAATGGCCGCCACTATTGGCACAGTACTCTTGTAGTGGTTTAGGTTGTCTTAATTGTACATTGGGCACAATATTAGCTTTTACTACACAATTATTAATACAATCTATGTCTGATTGATCGTAAATTAAGACATTACTACTTTGCGGACCAATTATATAAAAGGTATTATCTCTGGTCCTGAGATTATTTAATTCAATTTGACCTTTACTATCAAACGAAACACTATTCAATGTTAAGACAGACTCATTGTTTTGAGAGTTAAGACTCGAAGTCTGTACCACTCGGGTCTGGTCAGAAGCTCTGAGACCAGCAAAAACTATTTTACTAGTTTGGTCACTCACTACACGTGACACAACTATAGTATACTGAAGACAGGACGATACAGTGTTATCAGTATCCATACAATGGCTGGCTAGCCGCAACACTTGCGCTAAAACAAACAAAAACCGACATTACTCAATGACAACAAATGTCTTGTCGCAATTATAAACTGGTAACTAAAACATAACGATTGACTAACTGGTCGGGCCCTACCAATAATTGCCAACGAGAGAAGCCTCAAAGCCTCCCTCTAACCAAAACATGCAACTCAATACCCAATCTACTAGTAAGACTGAGTCTAAGGGTCAGTACCATCACTCGGTACTACCGTCGGTAAAACCGGCGTATAGTCTATTCAAATACCCACTATAGGATAAGTAATGCTATACCCGTTGACCAACCCTGTGGCCAAACTATAAATCAGAGTCCTCTGACTCTGATGACATAACCATGGGATCGTCACAAGCAATCTCTGGGGGAATCTAACCCATCTATGTCTCTCCAGCCGTGCCTACCCGGCACTAAATAAAGGCGTTTAAACACTAGTTAAACCCTACCCAACACTCGTCGGTGAAATGTGATAACACCCGAAACCTTTGTTACGGTGACTATCACTGGACTACTAATCTGTACTGTATAACATTACAACAGACAACAAAATTACATTCAACTAACATACATAGACAAGGACTATATTAGACAAAATTGTATGTGTGGTGGCGTCAATGATAAGGCGCTCATTAACTACAGCAAGCGGTGTCGCGTACACAACCGCCGCCGCATCGGTCAACGAATGCATCGCCGGAGAGTCACCGATCACATAAATTAACATAAATCTATAGAAACACATCATACACTCAATTACGATAAAGACAATACATGACCGACAGATTGCTGACAGTATTACATAATTATCGTAACATTTCTATTATCTCACATACGGTATTCAGTTAAATCTGGTCAGACATAACTATGTCGTCTCTGGGGTCAATTGACATCACCTATAGGTTTTTGGCCGTGATATTGTAAGAACAGTGCATATGTAACAACAATAAACTATTAGGTGTCCAAATATTTATTTATACCGGGTCAGTCAATCCCGAAGGTGACTATAGACTCATAAAGTTAAGGCAAACCTTAACTATACTCTCGGATCACTATTGAGGAGCGTATGTTAACGGTCTTAAACTCAGTGTCCGTTATCGGCTATTAACACACAATCACGCGATCGGGAGACCGGAACCCTCTTGGGACCACTGGCCTGCCTAGTCAGTCGGTATCGAATAGTAACTATGCATTTCCCAACTAGGTTAGCGAAAGCACATATGTACTCGAGAAATCCACTGCTATGCATTCACACACACATTCACTCAAACAGCCGATAATTACAACAATCAACCAAACTAGTGCTATTGTCACGAAGACAGCAACTATTGGATCACCTAGTAAATTGTATTTTAAGGTCAGACTATTAGTGTTAAATAACACTGAGAACCGACAAAACTACAACTGTTTCACTAAGACGTAGGACTATTGCCGAAAAATCGGGCAGAGCCTTCGGCGGCCTGGTACAATCTCGGGGATGTCGGAGACTTCCATATGACACATATAGTAGTCTATACCAACCATAACTAAGTATAGGTCAAAAGAGGTAAGGGAGGAGGACAGCGTAGCCGTACAGATCTCTCGACACGACAGACCCGTTAGCACACTATCAACGGTAAAGGAATGACGGCATGACCGTACGAATCCCCCGACACGGCGGATCCGACGGCCAACCATCATAAGGTAGGTTAGGGTAAGGTATGGTATTATTATGTAACTGGACCGGAACCCCCGACACGGCGGCTCCGTCCATTAGCTATATACGCGGGAAGGCTTGACAACATAACCGACCAGATCCCCCGACACGGCGGACCCGATGGCCAGTCATCTTACCTTAAAACTGTAGACAAGAAGGGACCTTTACGATACTGGAGCTCCCGACGCGGGAACCCACGGATTTAGGTCGCTTAGAGAAGGTAGGAGACAATAAAAGTAAAAACTCACATTAAAATCCCAAGGCTTTTATTTTAAAATGACATCAATACGAGGTATACATCCAAGTATACGGACCATATCAGAGAAGGGGGTCGAACCAGAAGGGGAGAGAACTGATCTGCTAACGGCTCTTAGCAGTACTAGTCTTATGCCGAGTGACTACCAGTATCTCAATGATTCTATCATTGAGGATACTTGGGGTTTTATAGTCTCGGTCGCATCAATATAAATTTTCAAGGGAGGTAAGGTATATACTAGTGATGCGTTGGAGCCAAAAAACACTACAATATAATACTATTTATGCTATGTTATGTAATGATTGATGTCTAAAATTGGTAATTCTGGCACCGGATAGGGAAAATTTTATATAGATTTATGTTACAGTACGGGAAAGAAATTTGGATTTTTGGCACTATGTATGTAGATGTTATATGCAGTATATTATGTATTAATTTTAGGTTGCATCTAAAAAATTTATTTGTTAGTATATTTTGATATAATATATATATATATATATATATATATGTGTGTGTATTGTATTATAAATCTATTTTATGTCAATATTTTCTATAACATCACTCCCTTCTCCCTGTAGATTCGACTCGAATCTCATGATATCTGTCCGCTTATAAAGATTAAAATTACAATTAAATATTAAAAACATCAATTATTAAATAGGATATATATAATAAAATTGTTATAAATGTTAATATAAATGTTATATTAAATATAATGTTTAAATATTGGTTATATAATATTGATTAAGATATAATATTAAGATTACAATATTAGGTGTTTATATTGGGAAATATTTATATAAATATATGAATTGGTTATTTTAGTTTTGCATGTAATGTAATGTAAGTCACAAAATATATTAATAGATTATATAATAATAGATTCATAGTTACGGTTATATAATAATATAAATTATATCAGAATAGTCTCATTAATTGTGATATATATATATAGTAAATAGTATACTAGGACTAAAATTATTGGATAATAAGTGTATATTATATAATTATAAAAGGGTTAAATTGTGTATACAATATTCAGATTATGTAAGTATATTGATTATTATAGTATTTGGTTGCAATAATTGGTTGACTATAAAGTTTGTTTTATATAATAAAACATTGTTTATAAGGTTAAATAAGAAAGTTTAAATTATTAATTAAGTTTATTAAATAAGTCATTGATTATATCATCGGCTGCTATGTTATCAGCTTCAGTAGGTATGGTATAAAACGAATTAAATTCACCCAGTGTCCCCATATCCGAAATCGCCTTTGTTAGTGATGAATAGACAACTGAATCCGGTGATGCTTTCTTGATGTTGCTTTTGATGATTTCTTCAATTTTCGTTACTCCAACATCATAGAAGTACCGTCTTATCCATGTCAAAGCATCGTCTGTGATGTCTTCACCATAATTAAATGTAGAGACTTCCAGATGTAGAGGTTCTTGGATATCGGTCACATGGTGTGATATCAAATGATCAATAATGATACTTAGATCATTTGCAATATAATGGTCAATAGAATGTCCATTTTTGTATTGACTAAAATGTTTCGCACGACACAACAAACACAACACTGATTTCATATTAATATGGTTATAGAAAGTGTTTAAGACATTTGATATGTCTTCACTTTTTAATATATTTAATAATTCATTACTGTCGGTTAATTTGAGACAATAAATACATAATTTATTAACACAATGATTACGGGTGAATTGTGGAAGCCATGTAGTTTCCAAAGTTTTTGCGAAACTATTTTTAAG